CACCAATTAAACATTGACAAATGTTTCTCTTTTTCTGAAGAATTAATATTTTACAATATCCCTCTAATCTTAAAAATAATAGTGTATTACATTTTCACAGAAGGTTTACAGCAATTTAGGTTCCCATTCAACAATTTCTGTAGAAGTTTTTCAGTGACTTTGGTTACATTCTTCATAATGTGTACCATTCTTATTATTCTTATTATTACCATCTGGTTTTTCAATTTCCATTCATTTACACTCTCATCTTTTTTTTTAAAGCAGTTATTAACTGTATGGTTATATCTATTCTCCAGTAGTATAGTGGTAACAAGTCGGACTGCTTACTGCAAGGTCAGCATTTCAAAACTACCAGTCATTCCATGGGAGAAAGGTGAGGTTTTCTGCTCCCATAAAGATTTGCAGCCTGGGAAGCTCTATTCAGGGTCGTTATGAGTCAGAACCGACTCCACAGCACATCACCATCACCACCAAACTATTAAAGGACTACGTTGTGAAAAAAAAAAAAAGAAAAAGATGTTTGGTGATATATAGGAAGTTTTCATCATTTGCCCACTGTATGCTCCACCACATTCATAGCTGTGTTTGTAGGAAAGATAAATACTCGTGTACAAATATCCTTTCAAACTCATATATTTGTGTGATATATAAGTCCTAATGTGGCGCTGTGGGTTAATGTGCCAGACTGCAAAATCGTTTAAACTGCAAGGTCAGTGGTTCAAGCTCACCAGCTGCTCCTTGGAAACCCTATACAGGGTCGCTATGGGTCAGCATCGACTCAATGGCACTTAATAACAACAATATATATCTATATATTATATCCCACTTTTCATTCCTTAACCTTTCAGCCTATGTCTCAATCCATGTGTCTATGCACAGAACACCGTTGTTCCAAGATTGTACATATATATCACTATTTACCTCTATCCCCTTTAGCCTATGCATACCTCCTAGGTCTTCACCTATCTTCATCATTCTTCTCCCATCCTCCCTCCTCTTGTGTATTTCCCTCCTCCTTCTTGTATATTGACACCCCCCATCACCCAACTTAAAGTCTATTTTATCAGAGATTTGTGTTGCCACTCCTGCTTGTTTTCAATTACCATTAGCTGGATATATTTTTCAATCCTTTGATTTTTCTGTCTATTTTTGTCTGTGATACAACCTTGCTTGCTGAAAGTGAAGAGGACTTAAAATATTTACTTGTTGTTGTTGTTGTTGTTAAGTGCCATCGAGTCGGTTCCGACCCATAGCGACCCTGTACAGGGTTTCCGAGGGTGTAAATCTTTACGGGAGTAGAAAGCCTCATCTTTCTCCCGCGGAGCAGCTGGTAGTTTCGAACCGCTGACCTTAAGGTTCACAGCCTGATTCGTAACCACTACGCTACCAGAGCTCCTTTAAAAATATTTACTAATGAAGATCAAAGACCACAGTCTTCAGTATGGATTGCATCTCAATGTAAAGAAAACAAAAATCCTCACTACTGGATCAATAAATAACATTCTTATCAACAGAGAAAAGACTAAAGTTGTCAAGGACTTCATTCTTGTTGGATCAACTATCAACACTCATGGAAGCAGCAGTCAAGAAATCAAATGACGCATGGCTTTAGGCAAATCTGCTGCACAAGATCTTTATAAAATGTTGAAGAGCAACACTTTGTAAAGTGTTGAGGACTAAGGTGTGTGCCTGACCCAAGCTATGGTATTTCCAATAACCTCATATGAATGTGAAAGCTGGACAGTGAATAAGGAAGACCGTAGAAGAATCGATGCATTTGAGTGACGGTGTTGGAGGAGAATATTGAAAGTGCCATGGGCTGCCAAAAGAACCAACAGATCTGTGTTGGAAGAAGTGCAGCCAGAGTGCTCCTTGGAAGCCAGCATGGCCAAACTTCATCTCTCATACTTTGGACATATTGTCAGCAGGGACCAGTTGCTGGAGAAGGATATTATGTTTGGTAAGGTAGAGCATCAGAGAAAAAGTGGAAGACCCCCAAGGAGATGGATTAGAGAATGACAGTATCAATGGGCGCAAGTGTGGCAACAATTGTGAGGTTGGCCCAGGACCGGGCAGTGTTTCATTCTGTTGTGTATAGGGTTGCTGAGTTGGTACCGACTTGATGGCACCTAACAACAACAACAACACATTCTAGTTAAAAATATCTGTGAGCTCAGGAATTTTCTGTCTTGTTTAACTCGCATGCCGGGAGCATAGTAGGTGATTAGTCAAGTATTTTTTGTTTGTTTTTCACATTGTGGGGATTACAATCAATGAGATGAAACAAAATGTATGAATTGTTGAGTGTAAAACTGATGATCTACTCTGTAAACCTTCACTCAATTTAAAATAAGCTTAAAGAAAAGTATTTCCAATGTTGTTGGTGGTCGTGGTGGAGAGGGAGTGTTAAAAAGCAAACATGTCACCTTGAGGACTAAGGTGTGCCTAACCCAAGCCATGGTATTTTCCATTGTCTCATATGTATACAAACACTGGACAATGAACAAGGAAGACTAAAGAATGAATGCCTTTGAATTAGAAAGTTGGCAAAGAATACTGAATATCATGGACTTTCAGAAGAAGGAATAAATGTCTTGGAAGTAGAGCCAGAATGTTGCTGTTTTAGTTATCAAGTTTTGCAATAACTGAAATACCACAAGTAGATGGCTTTAACAAATGGGAATTTATTTTCTCACAGTTGAGGAGGCTGGAAGTTCTAATGACAGTGCTGGCTCTTTGGGGTGGTATTCTTTCTCTGTTGGCTCAGAAAGAAGGCCTTGTCTCTTTAGCTTCTGCTTTTTGGTTCACTGGAGATCCTCATATGTCTTGGCATCTATTTTATGACATCTCTGTTCACTTGCTTGCTCATCCTGGATCAACATAACAAAGGCAATCCATTCCCAAAAGGGGATTATAACTACATAGAGGTTAGAATTTACAGCACATATTTGGAAGGATCACAGTTTAATCTACAACAACTCCCTAGAAGTGAGGATGACAAAATCTGTTTCATGTTTGGTCATATTACCAGGAGAGGCCAGTCCCTGGAGAACGACATTATACTTGGTAAAGTAGAGGGTCAGTGAAAAAGGGAAGACCTTCTATGAGATGGACTGATAACAATGGGCAGTGGGGAACGACTGTGAGGAGGACACAAAACTGTAAAGTGTTTTGTTCTGTTGTACGTAAGGTCATTATGCGTTGGAACTAAATCAGGTACACCCAACAACAATGACAGAATCTTATCTGAGAGCTTAAAGCTATTTTGTTCATAACTGTATTTACTTAATCTTATATTTCACAAATGTTTTATTTTTTATTGGTGAAAGTTTACAGAGCAAATTAGTTTTCCATTCAACTATTTATCCATATTTAGTTTCATGACATTGGCTGCAATCCCTTCAATGTAACAGGATTCTTCCTACTTCCCTGGATTCTGTGGATTCATTTATCATACTTTCCTGCCTCTGAGCTTTGTTTTTTGGGCAAATGCAGTCCTTTAGGTCTCCCATGGCTGATAGGAATACGTTCCTCTCTGGTGTTACTGTTCACTTTAAAGGCCTGTCTATTGTATGGCTGTAAATTGAGCCTGGAGGTGGGTTCAATTCTAGGCTTAAAGAATGTCTCGAGAATCCACTAGTCTCTATCAGACCAGTAAATCTAGTCTTTTAAATGCTTTATATTTCTATAGTCTTGTTCCACATTTCCTCCCTTCCCTTTTTGTCCAGGGTTTTCTAGTGTGATCCTGATCAGACTGGTAGGGAGTGGGAGCTCAGTAGCTAGTTCTTCTGGCCTCATGGTAATGGAGGTTTGTGGGGTCCATTGGTCCTTTGGACTAATTGTTTACTTGAGTCTTTGATTTTCTTCACTTTTACTTGTTCCATATAAGGAGTGATCATAGGTACATCTTAGATGGCCACTTTCATGCTTCTAAGACCCCAGGCGCTATTCACATTGTCTTTGTGGTTTATGTCTGCCTATTGATCTGTACGTCTTTGGAGATAACAAAATATTTTGTATATGAAGAAAAAAATAAAGGCTGCGGTAAAACTATTGTGATTTATTTTTTTAAGAGTGAAAATGCCCAGATTTTTTCAATTATAAAAGTGAACATACATTTATTTGAAAGCATTTGTTAGAAGTATGACCAAACTAGAAAGTAGTTTGAACTGATATATTAATTCTTCACACTGGAAAATTTTGATATTAAAATAATTGTAACTTTTTAATAAAATAATTTCTAAGTATTATTGCTCTTATAAAACATTTGAGGTGAGTCCATGTAAGAACACACTGTTTTACATTAACTATGTAAAGATACACGCATCTACATACATATATTCTAAGATAAAGAGGAGTACCATTATTATAAGTACTGGTCACATATCTATAAAATTTGAATTTGAGTCCAGAAATGATACTGATAAGTTCAAAGTGGAGCTTGATCAAAGGGAGGACAGAGAGAAACCTCTGAATGAATTTTCTTTTGGGGGAGAGTAATCAATTATTGAAGTCATGCAAAACAAAAGTGGTCCTATTTATTCCAGTGAATGTACACACTCCAGGCAGTGTGTAGACTTTTAGTATGCAGTCTACTGGTGAGAGAACTCTATTGTTACTGAAAATGTAAATATATAACCTTTCTAAAGCAGTCATATTCCATTTTTTTCCCCTCTAAAACATCACTAAAAGCAGCTGCAGTTTACCTTGTGAATATATATACAGTTCTCTGTAGAAGGAAGTATGTTATTAAAATAGCCTGAATATTATTCAGAAGATGATACTACTACCTCTGCATTCTATGCTCTAGATGTAGTCCATGAATTATTTCAATAATAATAAATATAGGTATGGTGCTATAGGATAAGCACTCAACTGCTAATCACAAGATCAGCTGTTCAAACATACCAGCAGCTCCTTGGAAACCCTATACCGGGTTGATATGAGTCCGAAACAACTCAACGGCACTAAACAATAACAAATAACATATTTGAAAAGTCCTACGCTTCAATGGACTTCTCAGATAAGGACTGGAGCAAGTCCTTATAGAGAGCAGAGTTCATAAAGCGGGGGTATGAGTCTCTGTGCATTAGGGTGTAAATCTGAAGTTGTGCATCATCAAATATGTGCTCAGATGGTTCCAACATGTTTCTGTTGATGACTTCTCTTACCCGGGAGTCTAAGCTGACCTGTAGGTAGAAACAACATTAGTGTTAGATATTCCCTTTTGTCAATTCATTCCCCAAGTCCCATAGTTTCTTCTGGGTTTTAAGTCTCAACCATAAAAGGTCATCTAAAAATTCAAAATGTGAAAAGAGAAACTGAAAACATAACCAATAGGGTCTTATACTTAAGCAACCTTGGAAGTCCACAAAACACTTGTTAAACAGATTGTTGGGCCCCAGAGTTCTGATTCAACAGGTGTGGGGGGAAAAGCACAAACAAAAACCCAAACCCACTGCCACAGAGTCTATTCTGACTCTTAGTGACCCTGTATGACAAAGTAGAACTGCCCCAGAGTGTTGCCAACATGGTAGAGCTTCATGTAAGCAGACAGCCACATCTTTCACAGATAGTGGGTTGAAAGAGCCAACCTTTTGGTTAGCAGTGGATCACTTAACCACTGAACCACCAGGGCTCCTTAGGTGTGGATAAACAAAAAAACAAAATCAAACCTACTGTCATGCAGGCAATTCTGGCTCAGAATGATCTTATAGAGGGTTTCAGATGCTGCACATTTTTACAGGAGCAGACAGCTTCATCTTTCTCCCACTGAGTGACTGGTGGGTTTGCCCTGTTGCCCTTGCAATTAAATCCCATTGTTGTTGTTGTTAAGTGCCATCGAGTCGGTTCCGACCCATAGCGACCCTGTACAGGGTTTCCGAGGGTGTAAATCTTTACGGGAGTAGAAAGCCTCATCTTTCTCCCGCGGAGCAGCTGGTAGTTTCGAACCGCTGACCTTAAGGTTCGCAGCCCGATTCGTAACCACTACGCTACCAGAGCTCCTTTACCAGTCACTAATTTGTTGTGGGCAACATAAACTCTGTGTGTGGTCACTAACTACTCTATAAAGTGAAGATGATGATAGTTCCTGCTAGATGTTTTGTGAAAATTTAATGAGAATTCACAGCTCATTGTTGTTGTTGTTAAGTGCTGTCAAGTCAGTTCTGACTGAACCACAGACCTTGTGGTTCAAATTGACCTTGTGATCCAGTGCTTTATCCTACAGCACCACCCCAGGGTTCACAGTAGATGTAATTTCATATTAGTCTGATCTTTTGCTCATCCTAGACCAGACTGTCTCATATACCAGGGTAAGCTACTGGGCTCAGACAGCAGACAAATAAGGTACATGCAGAAGCTGCTGAGATGGAACTTGTGCTGTCTTCTCTCTGTGTAAAGGACCTCAGCTGTACCAGGTCTACACAGTGGGCATACTCGGCAATTGTTCAGTAATTCTTACTTATCCTCTCTGGCTCAATTTTCAATGACAAAGTCCTGGTGACTCAGCCTTCTCAATGCCTCTCGAATCTGTCCACTTCTTTCCTCTCTGCCATGGTTTTTGTTGAACTGACTGATCCTTTCTTGCTGGATATGGACAGTGACCTCAAAACTCTTCTTCCAGAGCCAGGGTAGTACCTCTCCAAGCCACAGCATTGCCATCAGTCAAAGGAGCCTTCTTAGGGGGGCAAACATGATCCTGATACATACTCTATATACTCAACCTTGTTGTTGTTGTTGTTGTTATGTGCCGTGGAGTCGGAACCGACTCATAGCGACCCTGTACAGGGTTTCCGAGGGTGTAAATCTTTACGGGAGTAGAAAGCCTCATCTTCCTCCCGTGGAGCAGCTGGCAGTTTCGAACTGCTGACCTTGCGGTTTACAGCCCGATTCGTAACCACTACGCTACCAGAGCTCCTTATACTCAGCCTTAGGGTGAGCTATATGACCTGTTGCCAGGAACTCTCCAGTCCAACATTTCTGTTCCACACACAAGAGCTATTCTGAGGCACTTGGAATTTAAAGAGGAAACAAACCAGAACAATCTTTCCTTTGTTCTCTCTGTCTAGAATAACCTTTCCCTCCACTTGGCTTGCTTGTATTCTCCTCATATGTGTCAGAGTAAAACTATGTTCCACAGAGTTTTCAGTGGCTGATTTGTCCTAATTAAATCCCTAAGCCTTTATCCTGAGACCACTCTGGGTTGACTTGAACCCCCAACCTCTCAGTTAGCAGCCAAGCACATTTAATTGTTTGCACTAGATACAAGGAGCTCTGGTAGCATAGTGGTTACGAATCGGGCTGTGAACCTCAGGGTCAGCAGTTCGAAACTACCAGCTGTTCCACAGGAGAAAGATGAGGCTTTCTGCTCCCATAAAGACTTACAGCCTTGGAAACCCTGTACAGGGTTGCTATGAGTCGGAACCTACTCCACGGCACATAACAACAACTAGATACAAAATGGTTATTCATCATTTCAACTCCAAGGCCTACACAAAGGGCCACACCTTGAGATGAAATCAGAGATGGTTTCCAACCATGTTGAGGTCAACTGCTTATAAAAAGAATTTGTGATGGGGAGTGGGGGACTACAAACGCAAGAAGTGACTGGCTTACAAGCTTTCAAGAGGGAACCTGGTGCTAGGGAGCATGGTGGAAGGCAGAAGCTCCAGTAAGTACTATTCCATCTGTCTGGGCAGAGCTGATGAAAGGAGATACAGATGGGTAACTCGTGATACTGTAGTGAATAATGCTTATCAGGACAGATTATGAGGGTTGGAAATGCAAAGGTAGAAGTTTTGTAACAAGGAAGGGAGTGATTAATTCTCCAGGATAGGAGCGGAGGCCTCTGGGACCATCAGTGGAGAAGAGTCACGAGCGGGACCCTGTCCAGAGAAACAGACGCCTGAGATGGAGACAGTGATGATGACATGGAGTGATGAAGCGACTGGGGACTTTGGACCCAGAGAGGGAAAGGGACTGTGGGCTGAAAACTGGGGGGAGGAGGAGGAAGTGCAGGGGGCGGGTTTCTGGGATGTACCCTTTGGGTGGTTGATGATGCATGGAGGGGATTGGAACAATGGCAGTGAGATGATACACGATGGAATGAATGTAAAACTGATGTTCTCCCATGTAAACTATCATATAATTCACAATAAAACATTAAAAAAAAAAAAGAATTTGTGATAGATGTCCAAGGATACTGGTGCCATTTTTACATTATTCAACTTTTGCATGCAGATGAGTCAATTGAAAATAACATGACTTGGGTTGGAAATGCACCTTAGTCTGAAAGGTGAGATCTTTGTTTTTTAAAACTTTAAAGAGTTCTTTTGCAATAAAATTTCCCAATGTAATGCATCCTTTGATTTCTTGACTGATGTGTCCACGGACATTGATTTTGGATCAGAGTCAATGAAATCTTGGATGACTTCAATCTTTTCTCCGTTTATCATGCATTCGCTTATTGGTCCAGTTGTGAAGATTTTTATTTTCTTTATGCTGAGGTGTAATCCAAAGCACGTAGTCTTTGATTTTCATCAGTAAGTGCTTTCTTTGCTGTCAGCAAGCAAGGTTGTGTCCTCTGCATATCACAGTATGAGTCTTCCTCCAGTCCTGATGTGCTATTCTTCATAGCATCCAGCTTCTCAGATTATTTGTTCAGCATACAAACTGAATAAATATGGTGAAAAGATACAGCCCTGATGCATACCTTTCCTGATTTCAAACTATTCAGTATTCTCTTGTTCTGTTTGAGCAACTGCCTCTTGGTCTATGTACAGTTTCCTTATGAGCACAATTAAGTGTTCTGGCATTCCCATTCTTTGCAATATTATCCATAATTTGTTTAGGTTCACACAATCAAATGCCTTTGCATAGTCAACAAAACACAGGGAAGCATCTTTCTGGTATTCTCTGCTTTTAGCCAAGATCCATCTAACATTAACAATGACATTCTTCATTCCATGTCCACTTCAGAATCTAGCTCGAATTTCTGGCAGTTCCTTGTGGATGTACTGCTGCAACCATTTTAACATTAGCTTCATTATATTTTTACTTGCATGATGATACTAATGATATTGTTAGATAATTTCCACATTCTATTGGATCACTTCTTTGGCACAACGCTTCCATTTGGTTGACCAGGTAGTTATCGTCTAGATTTCTTGGCATAGACAAGTGAGTGCTTCCAGTGTTGCATGCTTTTGTTGAGACATGTTAATTGGTAGTCCACCAACTCCTGGAACCTCGTTTTTTGCCAATATCTTCATGGCAGCTTGGACTTCTTCCTTCAATGTCATCAGTTCTTGATAATGTGCCACCTCCAGAAATGGTTGAAAATTGACCAGTTCTTTTTTTGTACAGTGACTGTGTATTCCTTTCATATTTTAATACTTCCTCATCATTTAATTTTTTTGCCCATAGAATTCTTTAATACTGCAACTAGAGTCTGTTTTATTATTATTATTATTATTCAGTTCTTTGAGAAATGTTGAGCATGTTCTTCCATTTTGACTTTCTAATTCCAGGTCTTTGCACAAATCATGATAATATTTTGTGTTTGTAAGCTGCTCTTTGAAATCTTTTGTTCAGCTTTTTTACTTCATCATTTTTTTCCAGTTGCTTTAGCTTTGCTATGTATAGGAGCAAGTTTCAAAGTCTCTTCTGATATTCATTTTTATATTTTCTTTGTTTCTTGTCTTTCTTCATGTACTTCATGTTATCCCACAACTTTTCTGGTTTTCGGTGACTCATTAGTGCTCAATGCATCAAATCCACTATTGAGGTGCTCTATAAATTCGGGTAGGATACAGTCAAGGTTGCATTTTGTTTCTTGTGGACTTATTTTAATTTTCTTAAGCTTCAACTTGAACTTCAACTGTTCTGCACTTGGTTCTGGCTTCATTTTGACTGATAATAATTGAACTTCTTCATTGTCTCTTTTCACCAGTGTAGTTGATTGGATTCTTCTGTATTTCATTTGGCAAAGTCCACATGTATAGTTCATGTTTATATTGCTGAAGAAAGTATTTTACGATAATTGGTCTTGCAAAATTCTATTATATGCTCATGAGGAACTTGTGCATATGATCAAGGGTATATCATCCAATTTTTTTGTTGTTGTTGTCAGATGCTGCTGAGTCGGTTCAGACTCATAGTGACCCTAAGCATAACAAACAAAACACTG